ATATTTTTATTTTAAAAAAGTATTATAATAAAAACAATACGTTATTTGTATGTTTTGTTGAACGGTAAAGTATAAGAAAACACAGTATGTGACGTTACAGCGAAATTGAATGAAAATAATTAAGTGTAAAACCCAATACTTGGGTTTTAACTTAAACAACGAGAGAGAGCTAAATAAGGAAGTAATTTATCATGCTTGAGTGTTATGGCGGATACATAAAATCGAGCGATTTAAACATAGGGTTGTGCAAGATAATTCAAGATTTAAATAAGATGCCATAAGTGCCATGTGAGTAGAATAATGTGTTGTTGGGTGAGATGAGAAGAGACAAAATTAATAGAAATTTAATGTAGTAAAACGGGAAAAGGATTCAAGAGGTATAGCGGTATACATAAGAAAATATGTTCTAAAAATAGTCATCGAGGCATGTGTTATTGATAAGTAATTAAAGTAAATGTGTTAAATACATTTTTTATTGTTTAATAAAAAAAATCTACGACTGTGGTCGTTTACTGCTTCCAACTATACTTTAAGTTAACAGTTAACTTACAGTTTTTGTATTTGTTTTTTAATTAGCCTTAAATTTCAATTATAGTTTATGTTAACCGCTATAGTCTCTTAGTTCAATAGTTAAGCAGTCTGTACATGTGGCTACCAATGAGCTGCAATTAAACAAAACTTGTTAACATAATTAATTACTACATTGAGAGGGTTTTGAATGATTTATTTGTACATATTAAAGTTCAGGTAACATTTTAATAACACACAGGCAAACTGTGAAAGACCTATTTTGTATTCCAAAAATATATATGAATAGTATAGGAATTTTGGGAATAGGTTAAATTATCAACTTTATCTTTGTGTGGACGTTCCAGCTTATTTAATTATTTTTTAGACAAAATGTTATGTCGCTAATCCATCGTTTTTAACCGTGGATTATTATTTAAGTCCAAATTTAGTGAAGAATATTCAGCTGAAACACACATTTCGAGAAATACTCATCCTACTTTCAAATAGGTTGGGACAAAAATAAATGAGTTTGCTTTTAAACAACAAGGATCTTTGCAAAGTTCTACTAAGTTTAGTACTTCGTTTGTGTTATCGCGCAACCACATTCACAACGATTTTCTAGAAATTTACATTTCAGTAGCTAAATGCTGTCGGTTAGAATTCGAAATAGTGTATACTTTATACCTTAACGGTACAATCCGGTAATCCGTTCATTGTCGATATGTCAGCGAGCCGTCAAATGATTTAAGTCGGGCTTTACACTTTTGCAATCCAATCCTCAAATTATACAAAACGATTTGGATTTCGGCAACTTTAGATCATAAATACATTGTGAAAAGGGTATACTATTGGGTCATGCCGAATTTTGATAGTTCTACCGCTACTAATATTGTCCACAAACCATTATGGAACAATCCAGAAGTTTTACCAACGAGTCCAGCAGATTCGACGATATTCAAAGAATTGTAATTATTTTGAACTTTCACCGTGATATGATTGTCATATGTTTTATATTGTAGAAATAATCGCACAGTAATAATTATTCTACAGTTAACGTTGAAATAGAATTTCTCAGTCGTTTTTCTTGGGAAATGTTCAAAGCAAAAAATAATCGATCAACCGTCGGCATTTAATTGGCAACGTTAAAATTAAATTTGATATTTGATATTTTTCTAAATAACGACGTCTAAAATGTACAGAAATAAGTTGGAACTGTGTTAACTAATTAATTTTTCTACAGATACTGTGTTTTTTTTTTCTTTATACCCGGATACGATAATAAGAGTCTGGCTCGTGCGAATTCCACTGCGAGGCAAATAATAACAATAATTATGATTACACCAGATGCAGCCACAAGCGCAGCAATGAGAGCAGCGTTAACGTTGTGTTATCTCGAGAAAATAATGTTTTCTAAGGTGCCCACGTTGTTGAGCGGAAAATTGTTCCCACGGGCCATTCTCAATCTCTAGTCTGCTGACATGTTTATCTTTTCGAGAGAGGAAAAAAACACCAACAACATAATAACACCCAAAAATATTATTCTAGGTTTTCGGCAATAAAACAAAAAAAAAAACACCCATCGGTTTATTAAATAAAACACTTATTTTTTTCGTCAGTCATGGCGGTGTCATCGGGTATTTCCCAAGGAATTAACAAGCTATTTTCGGGTTTTTCTTCGTCAGTTAATATAACCACCAATATAGTAATTATTATACATCCTCGTGTATCTTATTATGTAAGACTTGTCATCCGTTTTCGCGAGAAGTCGAGATCGGAGACAATATCAAACGATATGCCCGAGGTAAGCTTTAACAAAGGATAATATATATAATATAGAATACATCCAAGCAGTTCGATTACTTTGACAGAATACCTCTGTACCCAGACAGTTGGTATTGCTATCCGAGATCTAATGTATCGTTGAATGATGACTTTTCCATTCTGACGTTTTCCCATTACAGACGGCGAGAATATTTCTAGTCCCACAAACAGTATTAGTCGTGCAAAACCGAATTTATGGAGAAGAAAAAAAAGAGCACAATATGTTAGCTGTTTGGCCAACTGACACAAAAAAAAGAATCTTGAGAAAAATGTGGTTATTATTAATTTGTTATTCTTATTTTTTGTGTGGAATAAAACGCTCAACCGACCGAGGAGTTTAATTTAACTCATGACTAATTCTCGGAACGTATCCAAGTCTTATCACTATACACTTAGGTACTTATAATTTAAGAGCCCTAACAAACTTCTCGAAGTGGTCCTGCGACGGTAGTCTCGAAATAAATTATTTAAATTTTTCAACAACAAAGCCGGTTAGTGCAATATTATTGTTGTAATTAAATTAATTATTTTTTAATACCTAAGCCAGTAAAATAACTATCAAAATACACCCGTTGGTGTACAAACATAATAAATTAATTTAAGCATAAAAAACAACAGTTGTTAAATGAAAAATGATATTTTGTTAAAGCACACGATGTACAGAGTGTTCTAGCATGAAAGGTAAGTAATAGGTGATTCGGCATCTGGGGGACCCCCAAATAAGCCCCCCGTTTTCATTTGTTCGGTAAGTTAAAAATTGAAGGTTTCGAAAGTTAAGTAAAAAAATAATGACAAGTGATAAAAGATAAATGCTAAGAAATAATTGATAAGAGATATACGATAGAAGATAAATTATTAATAATGATTGATAGAGATAAACGTTGAGATATTAGAGATAAATGATAAGAGATAGGTGGTAAATGATAAGAAATTAAAGGTAAATAATTAGAAACAAGAGATAATAAATAAATGAAAAGATATTAATAATAAGAGATAAATGATTAGAGGCTAGAGGTAAGAAATAAATGATAAGATAAGTGATAAGAGAAGAGTTAGGGGTCGAAATGGACTGAAAATGATGTGAACCCTCTTTTAAGGTGAGCTTTTTGCACTGAACAACAGTGAATAATTTTTTTTTTGTAAGTCATTATTTTTTTATTGAACTGTCGAAACCTTAAATTTTTGACTTACCAAAAAAATGAAAATGGGGGGCTTATTTGGGGGTCCCCCAGATGTCGAATCATCTATTACTTACCTTTCATGCTCGAACCCTGTATATCTGCTATAGTTATAGATTTTTATTTTTATTTATCTAATATAATAACATGATGGTTTTATTAAAAATTGTAATTTTCAATTTTAGTGTTATTTGTACAAAAAAAAAAAAAACTACACGATTTAATTAATTTAAAAAAAAATATACTTGCTACTTTAAAAGTAAAAGCTACACAATTATACACCCTTTTGTATATTTTGTATACACTTTAAAATAACCCCGGTTGACCCAATTACTTGAGTCACGTGCGGTCAGTTTCCCATATCCGTTTTAAACACATTTTACTTTTCCAAATATTTTTCTGTCATTTATTGCAGTAAGTAATGTTTTGTTTTAGGTTCAGAAACGATGAGAAGTTAGCCAAACGACTACATAACTTGACATATTTGGTTCTACATAATGTTATGTGAAAGGAGAATATTAAATGAGTCGAAACATTCAATTGGTCATTACTGAATAATTAACAGGTGTTTAAAAACATATAGAATACATCAACCTGTTTTGGTCTTGGTGTCAACAACAGACTACGAAAGAAAAAGGTCCTAATATATATATATATATATATTTTACAAACAAGCGCGAATTATTGGAAAGCAATTTAAGATATTGAATAACTAAAGTACTATTTATACATTGGTTGCTTATTTTTTGCAATAAAAACCTTTTGGATGAATTACAAATAGTTTGAAGAATACAAATACAAAATTACCGCACACCGTACAAGTTTTTTTATCAACTAATGTTATTCAAGAAAGGTGACGGATCGATATGACGGGCAGCGTCTTGGCATCATCCCGTACAAAGTACGTGGTTGCTTCCCTACAGGAGGTACACGGAGTAAACATGATAGTATTATAATTTATACTCTGCTGTATTTATTATTCTTAAGAAAATGGTTTAAAAAAAAAAAGTAGTCTATAATATTATGTTGAGGTACAGACGACCACGGTGGCGAACGTTGTCAGTTTACGGTTTGTCGGCGCTCAAAGTAGGCCGTTGAAACATGACTATGAGAATCGCTTGCGTTTACCGTTTAGATATGTATCTCGCCCCGCAGCTCTAAGATTTACGGTTCTAGCAAGCCATCAATCTTCCGGAGGACCTCATGGGTATAAAAAAAAAAAAGAAAAAAAAGAAGCAAACTACACTGAAGTCTCCCCCCCCCCCCGAGCGTTCTTCACATTAGCTCTTTGGCGTGGGCGTGGGGCGGTATAGCGTTACCGTGTAAAATATACGTCCCCACAGCCCCCGGGGATCCCCTACCCAAAGGGGGAGGTTCTCTGTGTTATATTCTTAAACTAGCAAAACGAGAGCCAAATTATCCGGCTGGAACGGTGCCCAGGCAAACGCGTCATCGGTATATCCGCATGCACAATTTGTCAGTGTACGTTCGAACTATCGCCGTGTGAAATTTGTGTTCAATGCAAAAAACCCGCCGAAAGGTATGATACAGGTTAGCATTACAATGCACTCGGTTTGGTTTGTGTCGACATCAATAACGTCTGTCTGGAGGATTTACACAAATCATTTGTTCGTCCATATCACCACGGTAAAAGTAATTTGTAAGAAAAGAAATGCCAAGTCTATAGGTGTTGTTGTATTTTGTCAGTCTCTGATGATGTTCATGATGAAGCAAACTTATGTATCACATTATGTCAATTTAAAATAACCGGCAAGAAATAAGTCTGTCCGCATTCGGTGCACTGATAAAGCGTATAGTTCATTAAAATTTAACGGACCAATACACGGCCATGTCTTTTGATTTTTGAACCTGTTGTAAACGTTCATGGGGGTGCAAAGTTTGGGTCAAATCCGTTAGATGAAAAGTGAATTCTTATTTTCAAATTTGTCTTTTTTTATTCAGGAATCTTCGGGCCCCGGAAAAGAATAGTACCGGAATTTTGTTTTAAGATGTAGGCATGGACGGTTTACTTGGAAAATCTTGATAATTAAAACAAACCTTTAACGAGTAGAAAAATAAGACATACTTTAACAATCCGATTCTACTTTAAAGACTAGGTCCAATTAAATTTGAATAGAATAAGGTACAATTTTTTTAAATAAAACTGTTTTGTAGTACCTTTTTAAAATACTTTATAAATTATCTGAAAAATGTTGCTAGTAACGACACCAAAAGATTGATGTTTTTATTTTGAAATATATTTGTGTTTTATACTTTAAGTTATGGATTTTTCGCGTTGTTGGAAGACTTTGGCATTCTAGACAGGTCTTCATAAATAATATTATCAATATTATCAATGACAATAAACCCAGTTCGACCAAGCTTTGTTAATACCAAATACACTGTATGGCGTATGCTCTATATAACAGCGTATACCATATACGTGTAACGATAAAATGAAGTACAGAACAATTAACATAATTGTTCATTTACTGTTCGACCACCATTGGTCGAACAGAGTATTTTATGTATGCGTTATTGAATAGACAATTTAAATAATTTATAATTCCATAGAGTCAGAATATTATAAGAATAATTGCATGCATTCCAAAGTTCTGTTTTTTGTCAACGATGATAAAATAATTGAAATTAGAGTAAACTTCAGTGTTTATTTTCCTAGGTACTAAAAATAATTGAATAGACTTGAATTCATTTTTTCACTAAAGTACTTTACAGCGCACCAAACATTTAATATAATAAACTACGAGTATATTTTTTTAATACTAGATTAAAATGTTATTATGTTTGATTTATGACCGCGATAATTAGTCCATGTTAATTACATTAAATAACAATAATATTATTATAATTTTTGTTGCTGACAAAGACGTTATTTTAATCTTTCGCGTTTATACGATTAAAACAAAATAAACAATGAAGGAAACCAAATTAATCATTTTCAAAGAAAGGACGACAGTTTATTGTCAAGAGTAGGACAAGACACAGAAACTGTCATCTCACATTATTACCGCGACAACGCACGCGTACTTGACTATATCATCACAGTTATTTTCTATTGAACGTTACAGGACGAATGAACCAGCTTGAGATAAAATTATAAGATCAGCCGTTATGAACAATATTGTCAAGTGATTGTTTTATAATATACTAGTAAAGCGAAAAAATGATAAAAGTGTCATGTAAAACAAAACCTAGTTATTTTCTCCGCTCCTCTAAAAAACATTTAATTATGGATATGTTATCTCTTATCACTCATTTCTTTTCACTTATTTCTTATCTCTAACTGAAAGTGAAAGTGTAACGAAAAAATGGCGAGATGAAATTTCTTGTATCCAGAGCCCAACAATATATACATGTTAAAAAACCACGCGATTTTTGTGTCGCTAAACACTGTACACAGTATATACAAATCATATTAATCATTATCACAGGTCAAAATATACATAGGTAGTAGGTATCCATTCGTTCAAGTAATTCACCACTACGTCCGTTTATCTTTGTCATCGAACGACAATATTTTTTAACAATTAGGTCATAAAAAACGATTTAGATGATTAATTTTCTTATGCAAATCACATTTATTGTTATTGTTGTTGTACAAATAACATAAAATTAATAATTATTTTTAATACCAACCGTGGTTTAGGAGAAGTTTAGTAATGTTTATTATTTAGATACCTGGCTAGTAATTTTCATACATCAAACTCAAAACGGAAACAAGCAAGGCCTAGAAGTAGATCTAACAAAGTTCCAAATAGTTTGTAGACACGAAATAGATATTTATCTATTCATTTACATTTAGCCGGTAGGTTTTCCCAAATAATACATTTATGAATCACACAACGGCCAACAGTATTTTTAGCTATGTAAATGCGAAATTAGTTATGACGACATTACACTTTTATTTATTATACGTACGTTTATTAGTATAGAAATGAAGAGTCTTTTTTGGCAATTATTTTTTTTTACCAGATTTAAAATATATTTGTCTAAAATAGCTAAGCAGGACCCGTTTTGTTTGGCTACGATTTTAGATGGGTTTTGAGCAAAAACGTTCATCATCAAATTTATTTGATAAAAAATGCCCAGGTTGAATTTCTGGGGTTTATGTGTTGGCGGATATTAAAAAACATTAAAGGGGTTTCTAGGTTTGATAATAGACTCTAAAACCACATAACAGTCTGTAAAAACATATCTGCGTGTCTTTATGTAATATAATGTAACGCCCTCTCAATTGAAATTGATCTTTTTGCAGCAATACTTTGTTTAAGATTTCAAACAACTTTCATGTTGTAATAAACATTTAAGCTAAACTCGATCATTATCTTATATTTTTTTCTTTATCTCTGGATCTTACGTTCTTTGGTAATATTACCTAACCGGCAATATTGTGAAGGTAATTTTTTCGATAAACTCTACCGGTAACGGATACTGTGATTTTTAATCTCTGCAATTTGTCTTTGTGTCGAGATGAACTGGACGGGTTGTACACGATCACGAGTGCAATATATCATCCGGCACAGGTGTTTGTAATTCCCATAACCCGCGCCGCGTGAAGGATGTTTGTTCATTCTTTTCAAAAGTGCGTAGGTTATGGTTTGGATAAATACAAAATATTATACTCGACGAGCGAAATTCGTTTTGGGCAAACCGAACAAGGGTTGTGATAAGAAAGTGTGTTATGTAAATATATTTCAAAGGCAAAGGTTGTGGGACACTCAATGTATGGAAGGTGCATTGCCATTAGAGTCGGCTTATTATGAAAATGTCCACCAGTGGGAGGCCGCTATATTGTGAATATTAATTGGGTTTTCCATGATTTATCAAAATACACGAACGTGTTGTCATCACCATGCTATCATAGATAATGGAAATAATGGACAGGCCACTCCTGTACTAATAACACACGGGGTTGCGGTTTCCATTGAAATATCTTTGTCTTTTTCTGGCCTAGGGGTATCCATAGGTGTAGCCGTATCCCTGTTGCGGTCCCTTGTTAGCTGTCGTTATCACTTTATTCTCAGATGATAAGCTTGACGGTGTATTCATTTTTTTATTACCCGTGGTTTTTATCATATTCTGCTTCTTCTGTTGACATGCCTATTCTCTAAGAGTTTTTGTCGCCATTACTACACTCAGCTACCTGTCTCTATCTTGAACTGCCTCTCTCCAGTCTCCTAGAGTTTTAGATCTTCTTCTACCACGCCAATCCATTCATTCCTGGGTCTTCCTCTTGATCTTCTTTCTTTTGTTTTCCATTCCAATGCTATTCTAACTGTTTCGTTCTCGCCTCTTCTCATTATGTCGCCTAACCATTTTACCCTTTGGCCCTTAACAAAGCTTGTTACCGGTGCTTGTTCCATCATATCGTACAACCTTTCTTTGTTATATCTCCTTCGTCAGTTCCTCGTTGTGTCATCTAATTTAACATTTTAATATTTATCATGGAAAACTAACATGGCTGCATCCTAGGTCGGGACATATTTCAATCCGTATGCGCGTTCCATATATCATTTTGTTCAGTGCTGTAGGACAAAACCAGCTGGGGTCGGTGCCTCGACATTTCACGGACCGGAGAGGGGGAGGGGGCACAGTTAATAAAACGAATATTAACGATTTTAAACTACGGTCAAAGAATAAACGTGAATATAATATTTATACAAGAGTTTCGCCGAGTGGATGTGAAGAGTTTGCACACAGGAGTCTCTGTAATGGAAATCTCCGGGCGGTTACAATATGAAACACACACATACACATAATATTATATTTATACGTGTATATACATAATGTAAATGGTATACCAACACACACATAACAGGATATGTTTTTGAAAGAGAATTACATTTACCATCGCCCGACGGACTGCGCCATTCATGTACACCGACAACTTCTTCCCGAGTATTTTCACCGTCGGAAATTTGTACTTAAGTGTCGGAGACGATATCGCAAAAACGCGCAAACAATCCAAAAAGAATAAATATAAAACCACCGTTGAATGTTTTCCTCGCAAAACGATTTCCCCTGTTCCAGTGCAGAGCACCTATATATTTTGTAATTATTTATCTACCTCGCTCACACACCGTGGTTGATCGCCATATTGGATCACGACAAAACGATTGCACTCTGATCGTTATTTGGATTGTATTATTTTCTCTTTCCTGTTTGTTGACAATATTATTTAAATGTTAACCGTCGGTTATGCTTACCAGTTCCACGGATCCGTAGTGACGCCGGCTGAACACACCTCGCCGAGAAATGAGATCATTAGACGACGATCTGAAAATAAAAGTAAAAATATATTTAATGTCAAAAATAATTTCACCCTTATGTTTCTACGCTCGCTCAATACGGATACACTTAGTAACTAAGTCTTAGTTGAATTGCGTTCGACGTTAAACCGAGTATTCTAGGTTTTCTCATATTGTGCAACATATAATCAAGGTTCTTTTATAACGACAACTTTGATTTCAGTGTACTTTGCGGAGATGAAAAATACAACAAATATTTAAAAAAAAATCACAAAGTATAAAAGGTGTCCCTTGGGTATTTTCACTCGTATTTGCAATTTACCTGAAGTAAATAAAGACTTACTGAATTTTAGGTTTTCATTCGTTATACTTACGCGTTATATCCTACCGTAGACGTTTTTTTTATCGATTTTAAAAATATCAACAATTTTATTTGTTAGTTTTGATTAAAATTAAAATATAATACCTTCCCTTCTTGCTTGTAACTTACCAAAAATGTTAAATTTAGTACATTTAAGTGCTTAGAATACAAATATCTTTAAAAAAAAAAACAACTGATAAATAATATCACCGCCCCGGTAAAACAATGACACAACTGCAAAATTTGATAAAATGGACTTAATGATTTTATGTGTTTAGATATAGCGAACGCATAAAGTAGAAAAACGACGTAACTGTAGTTGTAATAATTAATTGTGCATTCATGAATTATTAACATTTTAGTGAAAAATAATTTGGTTTTTTGGTTCTTCTGTAAAATTTCAATTATTGCAGTTGTGTCATTGTTGTACCGGGGAGGCGATATTAAAATTGTTCGACATCACCGGTTGTATATTTGGTTTTATGCTTTGAAAAAAGTGAATAATTTGATTATTATTACTATACTTTACAATATGAATGTGCCGTCCATACGAACAGCAACGGTGTGGGTAATTATTAGTGTTTGGATCAATATTTTCATAGAGCAAAATATAATATATATTTATTGTGGTCAAACGTTTGTGAAAGCCATACGGTGTTAGTAGCATCATAATAATATTATTATACTTTGTGATTTTCAATGACCCATAATGGGCGATCTTTGCTACCCCTCACTGCGCAAAGGCATTTATACGTACACGGTCCAACTCTGTGGGAATGCCAGTGAAATAATATATTATGTGTGTTTTGGTAATGACAAGGTTACACGCAGTGGATGTGTATGCTCGGCACTGAACTAAGGTAACTAAACCCTAGTGGGGTTTCTCGATTTGAGCCACAACAAATAATAAGACGTTTATTTGAGTATCATAAATATTCCAGTGGCGGATCTAGGGATAAAAAAAGGGGAGGGGGTTCTAAAAAGAAATCACTATGAATACATATTATAAGCAATAATCATCAAGTTAAAGCTTACGTAGAAAAAAATATATATACTGTAACATGTTGTATATAAAAAAAAAAAATAATAAACATAAAAATACGCTTTTAATGTATACAATTTAAGTTCATAAGGGAGGGACAGCTCCCCTTGTATCTACCCCTGGATTTCAATAGAGCGTTACTGGTCTATAACACTATAGACCACTCGCCTAACGAAAGGGTTAAAAAAGAGAAAACGGTTTCATTAAAAAAAAAATGTTTAAGAGTTCATAGGAAACTAAAAAATATGGTATTTTATTTTAATATTGTAAATGTTTTTTTTTCGCTTTACAAGGGGTAAATAAAATAAACATCTCGATGGTATAATATTTGTATGAATTATTCATCATTATCGATAACGAGAGGACTGGTGTATTAATAATTGGAGTCATCGTTAGTTTTTTTTTTACCGACCAGATAACCCTTCGAACTCGATATTGTTTTTTTTAATTAGAGACATTGTTAAAAATATGTTTTTTCTTTACTACCCGTGTCATTTGAACGATTTTGCCTTGAGCAAACGGTCGAAGAACAAATTCGTATACAGCAAACATAAGACAAATTTGGTTCGTTAAAAGTTTTTTTTTCGCCTCGGAAACAAACTCACAAAACACAGTAAAATTGGTAAAGTTCCAATTATTTATTTTCCAACACTATTATATACATGTATAGATTTGTATACTTCCTTTACTGACAACGGTGTATTGAAGATACCGGAAATTCCACAGTTCAAGTTAATCCACGGGGAAGACGCGATTAACTCTCCGTTCAAATGAAAATTTCAATTTATTTTACAGCAATAAGATATATATTAAAAAAAAAAAAAGACGAGCACAACATAACGCGTTGTAGCGTTTTTTAATGGAATTATCGATTACAATTATAATAATAGTAATGCATAGAAATATTTTACAAATGATTTAAAACATTTTAAGATAGGTATTTTTTTATTTTTAGGAGCCGAGAAAAAAACAATAAAAACCCCGCCAAATCACGATTTTAATAATCGGTACGGGTCTGAGATGTGACCTATGCGAAATAAACCACCGGCCTTGAGGGATTTTAAGGGACGGGGGTTAACGCTGTTGGGGTTGCAACTTATGCGTACCCGGTCTACCATTTCATTTATATTTATTTTTAAACGCCAGTCAGAATAATAATATACCTACCGACAACGACAGTTTTGGCGATAAAACAATAATAGTTATGGTTCAATAGAAATGTAAGATTCGTCGTTTGGAAAATAATATTGTTAAACGGTGTATCGGCAGACATTAGGTAACTTATATACATTAAAACAATATAATACATTATTATCATAATGTATCAATATCAAAGCGCTCAACATTCAACAGAGTGCCTCACATGCAATTTTACGGTATAAAAGCATGAGTTGGCTTTCTCGATACAGCTGTCCCAAAATTATTAAAATGAAGGTAAAAGAATAAAGAAATATTTTAAGCATTCATTTTGGTTTTAATAATCAAGTTGTTATTAAAATCTCGTCGAGGCGACACACATAAAGTTCTCGACTTTCTGATGACATAAGTAAAAACCTATTCTTAAATCTCTTATATAACGTCCTATATAAGAATTGTTCATGTATCCTTACAAGCCTTTCAATTTGTTAAATAGAAGATGGATTTTGTCCAAATAAAAACTCAAATGATCACTAAAATTGTATGAATGTTTTGGCCATTACTTTACAGAAGTTCGATATTCAAACATATTTTAAAGAAATTTAAGTGTATTAACAAACTTTTTTTTATACTTAGTGGGTTTTTTAGTTTAATTAAAATTTGATTAATAGAAGTTTTTATTGTACAAAAACTGATAAGAAATCCGGCTAAAGATAAGATATCATTGCACTATAGTCTCTGTCCGCAGGGAATCCTTTTGGAAAACAAATGTTTGCACAACTCTCGCTTGGAGTACAAACGATCTGGTATTACAATAAGGTACCTCCCCCCACCACCCATTGCATATTGTAAAATATATGAATGGCACGTGATTGACCGAAGATCTAGGAAGATGCGCCTTAAGGAACGGATCAAACGAGAGCAGGCTTAAGAGATAGCCGGAAACAAATGGATGAGTTGCGTGTCGCTTATGTAAATTTCTAGTCGTTTACCGAGCAATTTTTTCCCCCGATAATAAAACCATTTATGACTTTCAAATCGCTAACGGTTTCGAATAAAATATTTTCCACCCGACATAGTCTAAAACTGAGTTCAAAACCCATAAAAATGTTGATTATCGCCTGAAGTCACCCGAAAACTAAATCAAAACTAATCAGCTGATCTTTTTCTGTCAACATGATCATGCCGGCTGACACACATTCCCCATATCATCTAATCCTCAATTATTATAAACAGATCTTGAAATAGTCAATATATCAAAATTTAATAGATTTTTGTAAAACAATTAACCGAGTTAGTAGAATATATATATACATAATACATTAGACATTTTTTCTGTATTGCGGTTGATTTTAACAAAGAAATGTAACATGGTATTTGCTCTGCTGTCTTACAGCCTGATTCTTATTCAATAACTGCTTGATGAGATAACTGTTTAATGACTTGATAATTTTAGTATTTTACCAACAACTTAATCGTATTAGCTTCATCAGCTGTTGTTACTAACTATTTTCTATTGCCGTACTTACTGCCAATAACTTCTAAATGTATTTGGAAAAAAAAAATACCTATCATAAAAAAATCAAGATCATAATATTTATATTTACAGCTTTTTGATCAATGTGCATTTCAAGTGAAATACATTATGTCATTGTGTAAAAAATAACAAATAAAATCCACTATCTATGTACGATTTGGGTAACATGGTATAGCTGTTGACTATTGTATTGCTTTTGATATTTATACAAAATGCACAAGAGTTACAATATTCAAGTGTACGTTTTATATAAAGGATATAAAGCGTGCCGCATAAAAAAAAAAGTCTTAGCAATCTCAAGTAATCGCGTCTAGACGCCAAGATTTACAATGACAAATGGAAAATGCATGTCTTACTAAATTACAAATGCTGTTGTAGTACGTGCATTGTAACGTACAATATAAACACCGAAGATCCTAACAAATCATTGTTATTTATTATTATTTAAACAGCCGGATTAGTATCCATATAATATTTTTATTTAATACTACCTATGAGTCAATCGGGCTATTCTTGTAATACTACACTCATCGATAATCATTTTTACACCAGAGATTCATAATGTTTAACAAAGTTTGTTTGTCAAATTTTAACACATTTAAAATCTATAGTACTGTGTAATTAATCATTTTTAGTTTTTTTTTTATAAAAAAGTATATTTTTGCTTCGTTTAACGAGATGTATTTTTATTTTATTTTTTGTCTTTAAAACGCAGAAACAATTTTTTTCATGTAGCTAGTCTAAAGATCAGAAATATTGGGCCAACATTTAAAAACCTTCACCCCTTGCCTATCAAAATCGAGAAAAATACTAAAAAAAAATGTACAAAATATTTGTTAATGGCACTTAAAAAAAAAAATAGTCAAACTATTTCTAACTATAACTATAACTATAACTATTTGTATAGAATATTCTTTAGATAAAGTACTTTCCACAAACGATGACAAACCA